TTCGCCTCCAGGATTATCCTGGAGTAGAAGGACGACTTGGCCGAGGCTAGAGTGGAGCGGTAAATTTTGAGGAGGTCCAGCCAGATTTGTCGGTGGACCGTTAGGCCAGATTTGACACAGGTGCGTTCAGCAGCCCGCACCTGGCTTTTCAGTGAGCGGAGGTGGGTGGTGTACCAGGGGGAGGAGCGGGAGTAGGAGACAGTGCGGGAAGTGATGGGGGCAAGAGTATCGAGTGTGGAGGAGAGGGTATTGTGGAGGAGGGAGAGAGGAGAAGAGGGGTCGGTGAGGGTTGAAGGCCAGAGGGAGAGGAGTTCAGAGGACTCCAAGGCATCGGTTAGGGATTGTGGGGGTAACTTCTTCCAAGGGCGGTAGAAGATGGTGGTGGGTCTGGTGGAGGTGGGGAGGGGGGTGGAGGTGGTGAAGGAGATGAAGTAGTGGTCAGAGATGGCCTTGTCGGTAATAGTGACATCCGAGACACTGAGGCCCCGGGTGATCACCAAATCGAGTGGGTGGCCGTGACTGTGAGTGGGGGAGTTTATGTGTAAGGAGAGGTTGAGTGAGGAGAGCAGGGAAGAGAAGTCTGTGGAGATGGAGCAGGAGGGGGTGAAGTGTAGGTTAAAGTCGCCCAGGATGATGAGGCGATCAGAGCAGAGGCAAAGAGATGTGAGGAGTGTTGAAATGTCAGAGATGAAGGTGGGAGAGGTTTTAGGGGGCCGGTAGAGGAGGAGGATTTTAAGGGAGAGGAATGAGGGGTGGGAGAGGGTGAGGTGCTCAAAGGAGGGGAAAGAGCCAGTGGAGTAGGGGGATAGGGCAAGTGGTGTCCTTGAGATAAGGGCAACACCACCGCCACGGCGGTTGGGGCGGGGGATGTGGTGGGAGGTGTAGCCGGGTGGCGTGGCCTCCGTGAGGGGGAAGGTGTCGCCTGGGGTGAGCCAGGTTTCTGTTAAGGCCATGATATCAACGTTCTCATCAAGGATGAGATCGTTGATGACCAGGGCCTTGTTGCAGAGGGAGCGGACATTTTGCAGTCCGATGTGGAGGGAGCGGTTGACAGAAGGGTGTGTGGGAGGGGAGGGGGTCCAGGTTGTGAGGCAGGGGTGGGGGGAATGGGGGTAAGGGAGGAGAGGTTGACTCCCCGGGTCTGTGTCCGGGGTGGGTGGCGAGTGTAGTGGGGAATGGGGCAGTCGGTGTGGCTGCTGCTGGACAGCCAACGCTGAGTGCCACGGTGAGCCCGGCGGAGGATTCCCAGGCTGGAGCAGAGGGAGGTTGTGGGAGGGTCAAGTGGGGATAGAAGTCGAGAGGGACGGAGAGAGAGGAGGAGAGAGCGGGAGAGATGCAGAGGGGGAGGGTTTGGGGGGAGAGAGGAGGGGGGTGGGAGGGAGGGGGTGAGGGGGCTCGGGTCAAAGCGGCAGCCATAGTGCGCACGCGGGGACCGGGAGCGAGCGGTCAGGTGGATGGCATTATCCCGTAGGTTGGGGCAGCGAACGCAACAGGACCATAGTGGGCTCTGATGTGAGCCCTGGGGTGGGGGGGCACCAGAGACACACACACACACTGAGCCAGTGAGACACATACACACACACACACACACTGAGCCAGTGAGACACAGACACACACACACACACACTGAGCCAGTGAGACACATACACACACACACACACACACACTGAGCCAGTGAGACACACACACACACACACTGAGCCAGTGAGACACAGACATACACACACACAGACCCAGTGAGACACAGACACACACACTGACCCAGTGAGACACAGACACACACACACACACCTGACCTTGTGAGACACAGACACACACACAAACACTGACCTAGTGAGACACAGACACACACTGACCCAGTGAGACACAGACACACTGACCCAGTGAGACACACACACACACTGACCCATTGAGACACACACACACACTGACCCATTGAGACACAAACACACACTGACCCATTGAGACACACACACACACTGACCCATTGAGACACAGTCACACACACACTGAGCCAGTGAGATACTGACAAACACACACACTGAGTCATTGAGACACAGACACACACACGCACACACTGAGCCAGTTAGACGCAGACACACACACACACACTGAGCCAGTGAGTACAGCATATCACAGAAAGCATGTACAGCACATCACACACAGCATTTACAGCACATCGCACACAGTACACACAGCATATTACTCACGGCGTATAGAGCACATCACATACAGCATATTTTGCACATCACATACAGCACATCACAGCAAGCATCTATAGCACGTGACACACAGCATATACAGCACATCACAGCCAGCACATTCAACGCAGCATATACAGCACACCACAGGCAGCATATACAGCATATCACAGCCACCAAAAATAACAAATCACAGCCAGCATATACAGCACATCACACACAGCATATATAACACATCACAGCCAGCATGCACAGCACATCACACACAGCATATGCAGCACATAACACGCAACATATACAGTACATCACACACAGCATATACAGCACATCACAGCCAGCAAGTGCAGCACACCACAGCCAGCATGTGCAGCACACCACAGTCAACATGTACAGCACATCACACACAGCATACACAGCACAGCACAGCCAGAATATACAGCAGAACCTAGCCAGCATATACAGCACATCACACATAGCATATATAGCACATCACAACCAGCATATACAGCAAATCACAGATAGCATATACAGCACATCACACTCAGGATATACAGCACAACACATACAGCATATGCAGCTCATCACAGACAGCATATGCAACACGTCACAGACAGCATATACAGCACATCACAGACAACATATACAGCATAGGAGCAGAGAGCCCAGAGTGAGCTACGACTGGAGTGAGGCAAGGCCAGATTGAGAAGGAATTGGGTGAGAATGGGAATTAGGTGCAGAGGGGGAAGTGTATCTTCTAAACGACAATAATACAGGGATAAATAGAGTGAGAGGAGAGAATGACCTGGCAGGTGATGTGTGAGGAATGTGGGATGTGGTAGTTGATGGAGGGCCCTGAGCCCGGGCGACTTCATTTGCAGC